GAAGGAGCCGCACCTCTTCTGTTTATCCACGGCTTCTGATTTGGGTACATGGTGATCTGTTTCTGAGTTATGATGCTGTCAATGGTAGTGTTAATACAGTCCAGCACAGAGGAAGTGTTGGTGTCAATGTCCATGTGAGAGTCACAGGTAGCCCAGGAGGCAAACATGCTCCAGTCTGTGTGGTGAAACCTGTCCTGTAGTACGGTCTGTCCCCTCTGGCCACACTTTGATGATCCTTGTTGATGGCTTCACACGAAAGCCAAAATGTGAATGTGTGAACATTTCTTCTTATGACATAGGACTTACATAATACATATTTTCTCAGTAACTAAAACTCAGCATTATGTCAGTCAGCAATAAAGCATTACTATTTAGACAATAGTTCAACATTTGGGAAATGTGCTTATTTAGTTTTGTGTCAGGAGTTGGATGAGGAGAATGATATAAATCCTACATCTTCTGAAAATGTGAAAGAAATTCTTCAGGAACATCACTGGGTTGCCAGATGTGATTTTGTATGTTTGCATGTTGCATGGCTTACATTGCAGAACTTGTAGTTTATTTTTAAGGTGCTCTTAAGTGAGACACACAAAACCCAAACTGGATGGAAGGGGACTTCATGCATAATACAGAGCAGTGGCTACACAGTAGCCTTGACTGAGAAGAAGATAATACAGCTAAAAAGACAATCAACTAAGAAGTGGTTCCAATTACTGACTTATTATGCATATACATTATATAGCAAAATGTTAAACGGATTTAATTAAATGATAACAATGAATGAATACATTTTTAAACTGATTTAAATCACGGGACATAAAAATGATCAATGAATGAAAACTAAAGGTAGAATGTTGGCAATAATCAAAGGAAAGAAAACACATACTATAGGTTAATAATGATGGTGATGACAAGGGACAGACGCTACATCATCTCTTAGGCTTCTTGACAAAGTGGGAGGGCGGTGTAAGAAGCAGATAAAACAAACCTCACCACCTCAGCCCTGCTCCTCTCCTCCCTGATGGATGACACTTGGGGCTCTGAGCTCTGCTTCCCCAACCTCAACTCCTCCTGCAGGCACCTGTTGCGACTACGCTCTGAGACTTTTCTACTCTACACCCTAGTTGCATCTGTCTCTCTGTTCACTGTGACACTCAATTTGCTTGTCATCATCTCCATCTCCCACTTCCGGCAGCTCCACACCCCGACCAACACTCTGCTCCAGTCT